TTGTTGCTGACCATATCCATTCCTTTATAAACAGTGTACCCATTTTTTGATGGCTACTTCCAGCAGGATAATGCGCCATGTCATAAAGCGTGAATCATCTCAGACTGGTTTCTTGAACATGACAATGAGTTCACTGTACTCAAACGGCCTTCACAGTCACCAGAGATCAATCCAATAGAGCACCTTTGGCATGTGGTGGAACAGGAGATTTGCATTATGGATGTGCAGCTGATTAATCTGCAGCAACTGCGTGACGCCATCATGTCAATATGGAGCATAATCTCAGAAGAATATTTCCAGTATCTTGTTGAATCTATGCCACAAAGGTTTAAGGCAGGTCTAAAGACAAAAGGGAGTCTAATCCAGTACTAGTAAGATGTACCTAATAAAGTAGGTGGTGAGTGTATATTGCCTCAAATTTTTATAAATGTTCTAAAAGTTTGTACCTCACATGAATATTTGTTTATACCATATTGAACTATAGGATCACAGACATCAGTCAAATCGCCCAGTGAAGTATCAGAGATTATTTCTGAAACCTTTTTTTTTAAATGTTAATTTTGTCACTCAAACTTGATAACACCACTGCATTGCTATCGGCTTTCTAGTAGGTCAACAATTATCTGAAAAGTTAACCTTTTTCAATTGGACAGCTTTGAGAATGATCATTTGCCAATTTGTTGTGGCCAAATATATCAAAAAATACTTATAATTCCTAAACGAAACTTCACAAAATCAGGGTCTGGTGTATTTCTTTTGCAAATGACCAGATATGGCTAAAAAATAATTCTTGATATGAGGCCTTTAAGTACTTGAACACCTTTAGTTTATGCAACTTTGTTTTTTTCCAGGTCTCCGTATGTGTCTGGGTGAAGGTCTGGCCCGTATGGAGCTATTCTTGATTTTTGTCACTCTGTTGAGGCGTTTTCAGTTTGTGTGGCCTGAAGATGCTGGGAAACCAGATTACACCCCTGTATTTGGGCTCACTTTGACACCCAAACCCTACAGAATGCACATCAGGCGGAGAGAAACAGTTAAACAGTGAATCGTGATGCTGACAGTGCTGCTGTATATAAAGTCTGTTGACTTTTTTCTATAGAGAAACTTTTTTTGTTTTTTAATAATTGTAATCTTTCTTAATGAATTTACCGTGAACTTCAAGACAATGGATGTGGCATTCAAATATAGTTTTGTGATTTTTGTCTTTTTTCCACCAACACCATAAAAGTTTAATCAATCTGAGACATTTCTTTGAGTCATTTCTAAATAACATCACAGTTTTGTGAAATAAATCTTTTTGCACATCTCAGATGTTCAGTTTGAAATGTGCATTTATATTAAAGCAATAAAGGCACAAAAAAATCTGTCGTCATTTGCTCTTTTCTTTTAATGAAACTTTTTAAATCTTTTTGTCCTGTTGAACACAAAAGATTTTTTGAAAAGTCCTGTATCTGACTTCCATAGTACCTTTTTCTACTATGAAAGTTGGTGAGTCCCAGAAACCACTAAATTACACAAGTACACTGTTTTCATAGGTATTCAAATTTATATTTTAAATATACCCTCTCAAATATATATATTATTATTATTTATTTATTTTTTTTAAGTAGTGAGATGCTAATGGTCTAATCTGATTTAGTGATTTATGCTAAGCTAAGCTAAAAGTGCTCCTGCCATACTCTGAGATCAACTTAAGGAATTAAAAAAGGTAAAACTCTTTAATTCTGAGGAACTGGTAAAATGAGTCTTTTTCTTTTTTTAAGTCTGAGTGGAGTGTTTCTTTAAGGTATCACATATTGTCTAAATCAGGGGTGTCCAAACTCGGCCCTGGAGGGCCGGTGTCCTGCTGAGTTTAGCTCCAATTTGCTTCAACACACGTGCCAGGAAGTATCTAGTAAGAGCTTGATTAACTGGTTCAGGTGTGTTTGATTAGGGTTGAAGCTAAACTCTCCAGGACACTGGCCCTCAAGGACCGAGTTTGGACACCCCTGATCTAAGTCCTAAGTTAGGATTATAAAATATGATCCTTAATACACCTGTACATTATCAATTAAAATTTAGCATGTGTTTATTTACTTCACCCAAACAGTTCTTAGGATTAGTTTTTAAAAGTTCACCTAAAAATGAAAATGAACTCACTTAACACTGGCTTCTAAGTGGTTCCAAACCACATGAGTTTCTTTATCAGCTATTTTGAAGAAAGATGGAAACCTGCAACCGTCCATATTTGTTTTTCCTACTATGAAAGTCAATAGTTACAGGTTTTTAGCTTTTTTCAAAATATATACTTTTGTGTTCAAAAGAATAAACAAACTCATAAAAGTTTGAAACAAGGGGAAGTAAATAATGACAGAATTTCCATTTCTGGGTGATCTATCCCTTTAACAGACGACTAAAAATCTAAACTAATAGACAGAATGTTATAAAAAGAAACAACTACAAGCCAGGTATACTTACAATACCTAATTATTTTTTTTAGTTTAGTATGGTCAAACATATATTTAGACTTTTGTGTAATGCAGTGTAATTTTAAGTTGATGAGATATTGCCCAAACAATATTATGCTCTTTTTGTTGTTTTTGAAATGATCTCACTAAAACTTTGTGTGTGGGTACAACTTTTTTTAGTGCTGTTCGGCAAGGACAAGTGGAAACTTCCTCGTGTTGAATCCAGCAGACGTCCAGAATAAACAGGACCAGCTGCAGGAATTCTGTTTGAAAAGATAACTTTGTCTTTGTTTACATGCATTATTGTTTTGTCGTTGTAGATTTATGTCACACACGATTTGTGTTGCTTCTGCAAATCTTTTAAAGAGACGCGAGTAATGGAATGTCATAAATCTCTTCATACTTGTCTTGCAGAGGAAGGAGATCAACCCTGTTGTGTTTCTGCATTTTGCTTCTGATGTTTGCTCAAGTTGATTTAAATATGCTTTTTAATGTTTTTCTTTTGCTCCAAAAAATAAGAAAATATAATTTGTCATTTTTATGCTTCTCACTTTAACAGGCCTATTTTTTCAGAAATATTCTTTAAATTGTATTTACTCAAACTTACAGCAAAATACTGTAATGACATTTACGGTACTACATATGTTGCTATAGATGAATTACCAGATTGTAAACATTTAGGATGTGCGCAGCGAGGTTGCAGAAAAAAAACGGGAGCGCTAGCATTTACAGCGAGAGAATGACATCTGATGCGGTACAGAGTTTGATGTTGTATTAGAGATGAGTTAAATTGATTATATTATATTATATATGTTATTTACATAATGCTTTCAGCGTATTATAACAGCTTGTCACTTACTGATAAGCACAGTGATTCTGCGAAATTAATGTTAAAGTGAGCGGCGTTCATCTGACAGATCCATTTGCGAAAGCATCCTCCCAATGGATATTGGAGAAGATGAAATGGCCAAGCATCCAGCCCCAAATACAAAACTCATTGAAAGTCCAAGTGATGTTACAAGAGAAGTTAAAGGCCAACAAGTCTTTGTATGCCTACAATGTTGTTCTGCGTGATCATGTGCAAGAAATAATGTTCCATGATTGCCACATTCAAAACTATGTACTAGTGCTAAAAACTGAGATTCTGCCTAGCCAAAGACAAGAAAAGGAAGAGGGAGCTGTCCAAGGCCTGGGTAATCATCAACAAGCAAAACTGCATTCTGACATCGAACTGCAGCTGTACGGCAGGGTGTGTGAACTTACATTTTTACTTTTCATTCTTAGAATTCAGTGTCCTGAGTTTAAAAACCATATTTAACTGTTTTTGCTAAATGTTATGAATGCTATGCTGTATGATTCAGCATAGTGTGAACTTACCTGATATGAAATGAGAACTGCACAGTCCAGCATTTTTAGTTAGGTCCTCACTCCATTCAGCTCCTCTGATGACTGTTAGCCAAAGATTTCTGCAGTTGGCATTAAAGCAGTGAGGTGTACAGTAAAATTTAGTACAATTGTAAATTTACATTACATAGTAAATTTAAGTTTTCTATTTTTGGACTTTCAAATTTGGCATTTTACAGCAAAACACGACATGTTTGCTATTGCAACTGGTCTTATTTGCAATTGGTATGCGCGGCTGAACCCGTGAGACGCAGGTTGCTAATTCGTGTATTTTCAGTATTGTATATTTTTACAGTAAATATACACTATTTTTAGTTTTCTCATCTGTAAAACTTTCTATACAATAAAAAAATTACTTTTAAGTAATTTTTTTATTTAGCTATTTACTGTAAAACAGTTAAAATGGTAAATTACTGTACTTCCTATGATTGGCCAGGTTTCACACTCATTTATTTATTTGCTTTTTACGGTCATCCGATTAGCAGCAAATTAAAAAAATACTGTTTTAACGGCACCAAAAACATATTTCCCACAATGCATTTTTAAAATACAGTCACTGCATACCTGTCAAAATACAGTAAAATACAATTAATATTAAAGTTAAATACTGTGTAATTAGAAATTGCTAACAATGTTGTTTGCTCAAGGTTATATAGCAACAAAAGTACAGTTGAAAATGATTTATAAAGCATGTTATGATTTCCAGCTAATGAAAACTCCAGTGTGCTCTAGTATGAGGCATATGATAAACTATAATAAATACAGTAATACATTTTAGTTTTTACAACAGAACTGTGGTGTATTGTAGTATAATATACCCAATAGAAAACTACCGTATTAGGCTATTTGTTTATAACTATAGTTGTGTTACTACAGCATCTATATAATCCCAACAACAGATTAATTTAAGTACTGAAGTAGGCTATGGTAAAAAAAAAAAAACATGTGGAACGTGCTACAAACACTAAGGACTGATAGATTGACTTTCTTGTCAAAAATGTACCGATAGCTCGATTTGTACGTTGATTTTAAAGTCTAAAACCTTAATATTAAGTAAAACATCGCGGATTGTATCTATTCATTTTGATTAGTTTTTCTGCGGTTATCTCATGCAAGCATAGTAGAGGGCGCTCGTGCACAGTACTGTGTTTGTTTTTACACACACTGGAAGAAGAAGAAGTGACCAGCGCTGCTTATCACATGGAGGCATTATAGGAAAATATATTATTATATTTTTATGTTGTTTTTCCGTGCAGTCGTCACTATAACAATATAGACTTTTATCACTCACCGACGGGTTTGCGTTTTAAAGAAATGGCGACGGAAGCAAAAAGACCAAAGGTAAGTTAGATTTTTTCTTAAGTTGTCAGTATAGTGACAGTTCACAAGTTATTAATATATACTTGATATTGGGACACAGATGTTTTAGAGTTACTATGTTTATTATAATGTGTGCCTTTAGACAGGTGATGAGAAGAGTGTGCTGGAGCCCCTGAACAACTTCTTGCTGTGGTGTGAAAGTGTGCAGCTCACTCTCAGCGATAAGGTAAGTGTTTGTGTGTGTGTGTGTGTGTGTGTGTGTGTTGATAATTATTATAATTAAATTAAATACACAAATAATATAATGTGTGTATATTTGATATACATATCATAATGTTGTGTGCATGTATGATGTTATGCATGTGTTAATGTTATGTCGACTCTTGGGACGTTATACCTAATATTTATTCAGATTTACATTATATTATAAAATATTATTTTTTCATATTGTTTCGTATATTAAAATGAATTAAATAAACAAAATTAAATTTATAATAAAATATTGCTAGTAAAACGATGTAATAGTCAGAGTTATTTTAGCTTCATTTGTAAATTTTGTGTTGTATTAATATTTTTAAATAGTTTTTTTATATTTGTAATTTAATATTTCAATGTATATAAAAGTTTTAACAAATATATTAAAGTTTAAATGATTTTTTTAAAAATATGTAAATGTTATTATTAATCCGGGCTATTTTAGTGTTTATATAATATTTATTGCTATAATATAAATAATAATATTACTCATATTTATTATTTTGAAATTACTTTTAATTTTTTTGTATACAATTGTATACTTTTTTAATGTAAGGTTTATATCTTAATAATTTTAAATTCTTTTTTTATTCTTTCTTTTATTCCTTGAAAGAATAGTTCACCAAAAAAATTAAGTATTTCATGACTTACTCGCCATCCACTTACTTCAAACATGTTCAAGTTTCATTCTTCTGTTGGACACAAAATAATATAATTTGAAGAATGTTGGAATCCGGATGGCACTAGCCATTGACTTTTTAGTATTTTCTTTTTCTACTATGGATGTCATTTTTCAAAATTACTTATTTTGTGGATTTTTACCATGTTTGGAACAAGTAAATGGTGAGGCAATATAAATCTCTGAGATTGTGAACTTACTTTAAGTATAAAATGCTTGATTATACAAGCTCTTGTCAAGATGATAAACTTAAGATATTTACTTACCATAGTCTACTTTAATTTCTATAGGTGTACTTAGGTAAAGAGGGTACAGCAGCAGAATATGGTATGCTTGCCAAAGAGGACATTGAAGAGGGACACGTCCTGTTCACCATTCCCAGAGATGCTCTTCTGCATCAGGGCACTACCAAAGTCAAAAAAGTGCTGGAAGAAGGTATGGAAACTTTCAGATGTATTCAAAAAACACCTTCTGTAGCAGTTTTGTAGCCTCCATATCTTAAATTCAAGTGTGTTTTCTAGGAAAGAAGTGTTTGGAGAGTGCGTCAGGCTGGGTTCCTCTTCTTCTGAGTCTCATGTATGAGTACACCTCTTCAACATCCCACTGGAAACCATATTTGTCTCTTTGGCCAGATTTTAGGACTCTGGATCAACCCATGTTCTGGTGAGACCTTTCAGATATCCTTCACGGATCCTACTGATTATTATGGTCATCATGTTTAAGTTGAACCAGGCGCTAAAACATGTTAGAAATGTGTTAGCAAAACATGTAAGCCATTTGTTAAACATGCTCAAAACATGTTAATACTGAAACGTTCAATTCTTAGTCATGATATTTGCGTTTTAATAGAAATTCCAGCAATATGGTGAAATATGTTAGCCATATGCTAAAACATGAATGAAATGTGTTGCTATATCTTACTAAAACATGTACATAAATCTACAGGGTGGGCCATTTGTACAGATACACCTTAATAAAATGGGAATGGTTGGTGATATTAACGTCCTGTTTGTGGCATATTAGTATATGTGAGGGGGCTTGTAAATAACTCATGAAAGAATAAAGTTACGTTAAAACCAAGCACACCATTGTTTTTCTTGTGAAATTTCCAGTAAGTTTTTTTAAGGTGTATCCATAAATGGCCCACCCTGTAGATTTTAACAAAAAGTTAATGCTTTGACATGTTGTTAGAATATATGTGTCTTGATTTTCAGATGCTCGAAACAGTCTTAAGAGATTTGAACATGTTTAAACAACATGTAGCAACATGTTGTATCACATAGCTAATTATGTTTAGCATGTAATTACACATTTCTAGTTCTGGTTTTAGTGCATTTCTCTTAACAAAGTTGCTAGAATTTGTCACAGTTCTTGTCTGACCTTGTTTGCTTGCAGGTTTTAATGAATGGCTAACATGTTTTACCATGTTGTTAGAATTCCTGTGCCTCTATGCTTAGACCTTTAACAGAAAAGGTCAGAGGAGGAGTGTGATCAATTCCAGCAACTTTTAAAAGCGATGCACTTAAACCTATTAGAAATGTAATAATGACATGTTAATTAACCTCAAAACATGCTAAACACGTTAGACATATGCTAATCATACTCAAAACGTGTTGCTACATGTTTCTAAAAACATGTTCAAATCTCTATAGTCTGCGTTATGAAGGCCTGAGGATTGGTAATAACACGTTAATTAACCTAGAAACATACTAAACACATTAGCAATGTGCTAATCATACTATAAACGTGTTGCTACATGTTGCTAAAACAGGTTCAAATCTCCATATACTGTTATGATGGCCTGAGGATCGGTAACAACACGTTAATTAACATAGAAACATGCTTAACATACTAATCATACTAGAAACGTTGCTACATGTTGCTAAAACTTCTACAGACTGTGTTATAAAGGCCGAAGGATTGGTAACAACACGTTAATTAAGATAGAAACATGCTAAACACATTAGCAATGTGCTAATCATACTATAAACAAGAAACGTGTTGCTAAAACAGGTTCAAATCTCTTTAGACTGCTTTGAAAGTCTGATGATTGTCATTAACATGTTAATTAACATGTCTTTAAACAAGCTAAACACATTAGCCATGTGCTAAAACACATTCAGTTCATTGGAGTCACAATGCTTATGTTTTGAAGGTCTGAAGAGGAGTGTGATAAACTCCTAAAAGGCACAGGAATTCCTGAGTCAGTCATCACTGACCTGAGAAGACTCCAGGATGAGTACAATAGCGTGGTCCTCCCCTTCATGAAGTCCCATCCTGACCTGTGGGACCCTGAGAAGCACAACCTGGAGCTCTACAAGAGCCTCGTTGCATTTGTTATGGCCTATAGGTGAGGAATCAGCAGCAGGCAGCAGAATTAGCTTCAATGTAAACATTAGCTGCATCATGATTGCTAACATTTCCTCATCTCAGCTTCCAAGAGCCTGTAGAAGATGATGATGAAGATGAAGAGGATGATGAAAAAAAGCCAAACCTTCCAATGATGGTGCCAATGGCCGACATGCTGAATCACATTTCCAAGCACAATGCCAATCTGGAATACACTCCTGTATTATTATTTTGTATCTTTGTGTTTGTTTATTGTGGTGGTTGCTTCGATCTCTCACAGCTCATGTCTTTAGGAGTGTTTGAAGATGGTGTCAATACGGCGTATTGGGAAGGGCGAGGAGGTGTTCAACACATACGGGCAGATGGCAAACTGGCAGCTCCTCCACATGTATGGATTTGCGGAGCCATTTCCTAATAATATCAACGAGACAGCAGATATTAAGATGGCCAGTGTGTACAAAGCTGCAGCGCAAGGTGATGCTTTCAAATGTTAATAAAGTTGTTTAGAGCACAGAATGAAGCTTCTTAGCGTAATGTTTTTTTAATTACAATTGCAGTGGCACGAAGTGAAGCAAATCAGCAGCTCTTAGAGGACAAATGGAAGATGTTGTGTGAGATGGAGGTTGTGGGAGAGAAAGGAGTCTTCATATTTGGCCAGTCTGGCTCTTTAACATATCATGAGCTCTACACCACACTGAAGGTAAACATTTCATTCACATGACAAAGTTATTGCATTTAGTTTGAAACAAGATTTGTTTGTTCAAAATACTTAATCACTTTGATTTAACTTAATCAAGACATTAAATAGACAAGGTTGTGAAGAGGCGACGCAGTGGCGCAGTAGGTAGTGCTGTCACCTCACAGCAAGAAGGTCGCTGGTTCAAGCCTCGGCTGGGTTAGTTGCCGTTTCTGTGTGGAGTTTGCATTTCCTCTGGGTGATCCGGTTTTCCCCACAGTCCATAGACATGCAGTACAGGGGAATTGGGTAGGCTGAATTGTCAATAGTATATGAGTGTAAAGGAGTGTGTATAAATGCTTCCCAGAGATGGGTTGCAGCTGGAAGGGTATCCGCTGCGTAAACTATGTGCTGTTCATTCCGCTGTGGCAACCCCGGATTAATAAAGGGACTAAGCCAAAAAGAAAATGAATGATTGAATGAAAGGTTGCGAAGACTGTGTAACTTTTCATTATTGTACTCAAAGTAGTCACGTTAAAAAGGGTAACCACTAGGATTAAAGTGAAATACCAGTACCAACAAATATCTGTTTTATGCATATATGTATATTTTATTTCTTGAATGGAAAATATGTTGGATTAATCAATAATTCATTCATTCATTCATTTTCTTGTCGGCTTAGTCCCTTTATTAATCCGGGGTCGCCACAGCGGAATGAACCGCCAACTTAACCAGCAAGTTTTTACGCAGCGGATGCCCTTCCAGCCGCAACCCATCTCTGGGAAACTTCCACACACATATTCACACACACTCATACACTACGGACAATTTGGCCTACCCAGTTCACCTGTACCGCATGTCTATGGACTGTGGGGGAAACCGGAGCACCCAGAGGAAACCCAAGCGAAGGCAGGGAGAACATGCAGTCTCTACACAGAAACGCCAACTGAGCCGAGGTTCGAATCAGCGACCTTCTTGCTGTGAGGCGACAGCACTACCTACTGCGCCACTGCCTCGACCCTTAATCAATAATGTAGAAAAAATAAAATGAAGAAATCCCCAATGTCTTTGAAACTTCTCTCAAAACAAAAAAAAATGTCTTAGCTTTTGGATGATGGTCACTTATTCTGAGCGAGAAAAAAAACCTTGAGTGTGTTGAAAGACCTGCAGACTTGCAGATAATGGATAAATGAAACTTCATGATGGTATCCACAATGTATAATCTTAATCAGACAGTATACCATTAAGACAATAAGAAAGTCCTTCTAACAAAAGAAACAAAAAAACACCATAAACAAACATAAGAATTTCAAACATATTTAAAGAAGAAATAATTTAAACATACTCACAGGCTGAGCTAAAAACTCAAGGTTTCCCAACTAAGACTTCACAATTACCTACAGTTTGAAGTAGCTCCAAAGAACCATGGCTGAGTCCGAAACCGCCTACTACTCAGTAGGTACTGCATTGGAATTTAAACGTACTACTCGGCCGTATGTTCTATACAGTATGAACGTGAAAAGTATGAATGGAACTCGGACTTACTACATCCGCCATTTTGTTGTTTCACTCCCATTCATAAATTCTCGGGGCATCGTGGGATAGCGCAGCATACATGGGATGCGGTACCTCTCTTATACTGATTTTCGAATTCTACGATTTCGGACATACTACTCAGCTTGCATACTGATTTTAGCATACTGTATAGTATGGAAGTATGCGGTTTCGGACACAGCCCATGTGTTCCCTCTACCACAACTGAATCTACTTCTTCATTCCCCCACTCACCTATTATACATTATAGGTGTCTCTCAAGTGACAGACATTTAATTCTGTTACAACAGACAGCGATGACATTCAAAAGGTTGTGCAAGCTTTGTGGGGAGAGAGCTACCATGGCACACATCTTGTCAGGGTGTAAAACAGCACTTGCCCAAGGTGGAGACAGGTGGCGCCATGTCAAGATGCTCGCTAACACTTTGGAGCAAGAGAGATGCAAGAAACACCAACCACATGGGAGAGCAATACCATCAATCAAGTTTGTAAGAGCAGGTTAAAAGCCACTAACCACAATAACTTCAAGTACTGTGGTCTAAAGAGACAAATATCATTCTCATCGAACTTACAGTCCCATGGGTAGAGGGTTGTGAGCAAGCGTTTGAGAGGAAGAGCGCCAAATACCAGAACCTCTTGAAGGTTGGCAGGCATGAGTTATCCCAGTAGAGGTCAGCTGTAGAGGATTCCCTGCCCAGCCATGGAGGATGCTTACAGCGTTTGGGGTGATGGGGAGGGAGAGAAAGATGTTCTCAGGATGGGAGAGGCAGAAGAGAGAGCTCAGCCTCTTGCTGGAAATGGAGCAGGAGAGAGGAGCTTAGCTGGAAGCCAGAGGGAGTTGATGGGCAGTGATTTGGCCACCACTCCTGACCCAACAATATTGAGGGTGCTGCGGTTTAGGATTGAGAAACCCAATGATCATTGGATAATTCCTGGCCAAGGCTACATTCACAAAAAGTGAATGGAGGAGAAGCATCTTTGGATGCAATTGTAATTCAAGAAAACGTTTGAACTTTAAATACATTGATACTATTAATAAAACTACAAAATATACTCAGAGATACAAAAATATCCATTTATTAAATTATTTTTAATTTGATCGATTTTTTTTGGCCAACAATTTAAATCTGCATCCATAAAACAACAAAAAAACGCTTAATAAAAGCTAAAATGCTAATCTTTTTATAGCTTAGCGTAGCATGAGAATACAATAGACATATTTTACTCCACACTCACTTTAAATGTTCAATCAAGTATTGGAACTTTCTTCTGTACACTAAAATGGCTTTGCACAGAATGAGACTGAAATTATAATGCTTTATTAATTACATACAGTTACACCAAACTATTGCTTTGCTAATTAGCGTTTCATTTTGAAGATTATTCTTATAAAAATAAATGTTTGAAGAACACAGTAAGGGGCCGTTCATGTGTCTAAGATCGTGTGGAAATCCGTTTCCTTCAGCATTTTCAATGCGCTTTGTGCTTGCGCTCCTGTCATAGCCAGTTGGAAAGGTGTACCTAATAAAGTGGCCAGTCAGTGTACGTTATAACATAATAAATAATCCCATTGCAAAATTGTAATGCTACATTTTTGGTCTAGGTCCTGTGTATGTCTTCACAAATTTTTGAGGACTTTCGTGAAAACGAAGGCTGGGAGGAGGATGATGAGGACGACGATGATAAAATGGAGCAGGATCTGAGTTTTGAAGGACTGGCCAGTTTGTCTGTGGAGTGGAAACGTCTCCTGTATGTGGCAGCTACTGAGACGCTGGACTCTTATAATGAGGATGTCGAGACAGACAGGAGGCTGATGGAGGATCAGAGAGCTCTGGCTGAACTCAGCAGTAGAGAGAGGAGAGCTTTGTATGTGCGCCTCGGTCAGAAGAACATCCTGCAGCGAATACAGCAGCTCACCAAACCTGCATCTTAAAGTATGCTTTCCACAAACATTCTTATACAGTGCTGAAACTGCATTCTGGGAAACATCGTGTTGGAGAAACATTTCTGTAACAATTGCAAATGCTGAATGATTCTGAGCTGTTGTGAAACATATTTAGCATAAAATTTGCTTAAAGTCCATTTACATCTACATCTGGCAGGCATTGTTAAAAAAAAAAAAAAAAGATCTGTATTTTGTGGGGAATAAGGGTGTTCACACTTGGCAGATTTGGATTGATTAAAGTGAAATTTATAAACTAATTTCGAGAGGATCACATGCTTATGATTGACCACAGCCGGTCCTGCAGTAGCTAATACATGATTCTCCAATCAGATGATTCCTAAGTCACTATAATTCTAGAATACTCCACAACCATCTTCGTCTTCATTTTCTGGGCAGAGTTTGCATGTTCTTCCCATGTCCAATTCCCCCAGATTCCTCCAACCGTCCAAAGACGTGTTATTCGCAAACCGACTAGGCTATATTGGCACCATAGTCTAGCTCCTAGCATCAGTATTTAATTCTCAAAGCAGTTCACCTATACCCACATCAGCGGGGGAGCTTTAACATTTACCCAAGCTCAATCTCCCTTCTCACCCTGCAAACGGGATGGAGCTCAGGGCTCTCCCGGGACAGTATTGCAAACAAGCATATTATAAATCATCAGCTAAGTGTGAACTCTTGAGATGAACTCTGGTAAAATTCCACTGTTGTGATCAAGACAACCATTTTACCCCTTTTGAAAAGAGTTGACACATTGATCAAATTTTAGCAACATTACAAATGCAAGAAGGCCTGTTGTAAAGTGAAGAAGGAAAACTAATTTTTTTTCAGGGGGAAATAATTAACATTTTATAAAGTCACCCATTTTAGAAATATGAATCCATTCAGCCGCTCTGGGTTTGGCAGGAACACTTAGCTTAGAGCTTTGAATTTAATTAGACTAATACAATCCTGCAATATTTTCTTAATGATGTTCCAATTTAAAGGTTGACTTCAGTATTTAAATTGTGTACTAAGACAGATTGCTATTTTCTAAGTGGTTATGGCTAGGAACTGTACTCTCATTGTGGTGTAATAATCAAGGAACTTTGTCATCATATGATGGTGGCAATAAAGTCCCTTGATTATTACGCTGGAATGAGAGTATAGTTCCATGCCATGTCAACTTGGAAAAAAGCAATTTTTCATTTCTTTCTTTGTCTTACTACACAATTTTAATACATAAGTGTCAAACCTTAAATTGGAAAATGATCAAACTTTGAGTGAGATAGTCTAATAGTCTAATGCAGGGGCGCTCAATCCTGTTCCTGGAGATCTCGCTTCCTGCAGAGTTCACCTGTCTATAATTACCAAGTGCTCATTCAGATCCTTAGTTGTGTTTGATCAGCGTTGAAGCTAAACTCTGCAGGAAGGTAGATCTTTGGGAATAGGGTTAAACCAGTGGTGCTCAACCCTGTTCCTGGAGATCGACCATCCTGCAAAGTTAAGCTCTAACCCTGATCAAACACCTGAACCAATTAATTAGGACCTGAACAGCACTTGATAGCTACAAGCAAGGTGTGTTTGATATGGGTTGCAACTGAAATCTGAAGAAAGGTCGATCTCCCAGAACAGGGTTGGTCACGCCTGGGTTAAACCCTCCTGGTCTAATGTATAGGTCTCAAACTTGATTCCTGGAGGGCCACAGCTCTGCAGTTTTGCTTCAACCCTAATCAAACACAGCTTATCCGAATAATCGAGGTGTTCAAGGCTACAAGAGAATATTAAGCAGGTGTAAGTTAGAGGTGGTTGGAGCTAAACTATGCAGAGCTGTGGCCCTCCAGGAATTGAGTTTGAGACCACTGGTCAAATGTGACTCAATCATTAATGCCAAATTAAAAGTGATCCCGCCAAATCTGAAATCAGATGAATGGGTTACAAAATGGTAAATCTTAACTTTAACTCTTTGGAACTTGTAAAATAAGCTTATTACAGGAAAAAAAGGTGTTCCTTAAACACAGGAGAAACTCACAATAATATGAATTCATATCTGCTTATTAAGTCGTGACGTATGGAGTACTGTTTCCGGGTCCAAGCCGCTACTCATTTGAATTGAGTAAATATTAGTCTATGACTTTAGTCATATCACACATAAAAGTGAATTTTATATAAAATTGTCCACGACATAATTATGTCAAAACATATGTCCTGGACCAATATTTTAACAATTTATAAAAAAACAATTCACTTTCTGGCATCTGATATTAGCAACAGGTCGATCATGACTTTTGGATGTATTAGATCACTTTGTAAACGTTTATTATTACCATTTGTTTAGTCTCCCCATACAGATTGATAGAGCGCATTGACCCGGAAGCTGCTTCATATGACATCACACTTAACAAGTGCATTGGACTGCCCGAATCTATAATTCGTCCCTTACAATCTTTTTTTGTAATCTGCATTACAATATCTGTTCAAAACCATAGCACAGAAAACAAAATCAAATGACTAGCAAGCAAATGTGCAGTTCAAGTGTTTAATGCAGTAACTACAGAATGCATACATACAGGAAATAAGTAGCGGAACTAAAGGCAACTACAAAGTACTACAAAATACAACACGCGGACCAATACATTTACAAAACATTCGAAATCCTTACAAAATGAGCTGTATTGGTCCTTTTTTTTTGTTCTGCAAGTTGAATCTTTGTACAAACTCCGAAGATCCAATTTACCAACAAATTGAATATTTCCACAATTGTACAAGTGCCAGGGAGAACCTCCAACCCAAGATTTGTTTCATCACAGGTCTAAACCAGTGACCCCCCAACCCCCTCCCTGCAGTCCAGGACGTCGGTCCGATCCTATCAGCTCACCACACTGATAGCTCTCCCCTTAAAAACCAAACCACAAAAGGAAAAATAAAAAGGAAATAAAACAAGACCGCTTTCCTCAGCCACTACTACCAAGCTTCCAAACAAAAGTCAATCAGTCTTGAAGGCAAAAATAATTTATGGAGAGCTAGGGGGAGCCAAAGAGCAAGGAGTGAAATGTGCTCAAGCTTGTGCCTCAGTTTCAACAAAATAACTCAATCTGCTTCTTACACGTCCCTTTTTAATATTTACATTGAACATTTTAACTTGTTGAGGGAGGGAAAAAAGAAAACCAAAAACAAAACTCCTCATTTCGGATACCACCCAGTGGCAGGCAAGCAAGAATCCAGTGCTGGCTGTGTGTCGATCAGACGTGCAGGGCCATTGGTGGGGGCAAATGAAGGGTTGGGAAGAGGGAGATCTCTCTCTCTGGGCACGAGAATAAGTCCTGCAGCTTAACTGGCACCGGTTCCCTCCATCACCTGCTGGGCCTGCTTCTGCCCCATACAGCACTGAGCCACTGACTGGAACAACCTGCAGACAGACCAACAACAAAATGTATTTCTTGTCTTATAAAATACAAACGATGTGAACATGTCATGCTAGACCCCTTACTTCTCGATCTCTGGGGCGCAGTGCACAAAATCATGGCTCCAGAACTTGAAGGCAGGGTTCTTGATCAGCTCTATGAAGGTGATGAGCAGACCCCACGGGTGTGGCCTGTTCACAATCAGCCTCTCCAGCAAGACCCTGAATGACACCATCACTCGTTAGCTAACAGACAAGAACTTAAAAGCACTCCAAAACCGAGGTAACTCAATATACCTGGTGATCTGCTCTTGAATGGCTTCAGCATTGGCCTCGGCAAACAGATACAGCATGGTACAGCTGAAGTAGTGCGTGTGGCTGTTTGGATAACGCAGCTGATTGGCTATTGCATTCAGGAACAGATAGCGACCTGGGAGGAGGAGAGCAATTCACTATGGGTGCATCCAAAATCACATTCTTTCATACAATATAGCACGCTAAAATCATTATGCGAGCTGAGTAGTATGTTCCAGTGAAACAGGCTGAAGGTATGAATCAGTATGCAAGAAGTACTCGGATGACCTACTACTTCTGGAGAGACTCTGATGTTTGCATCCGATGCAGGCTGCGCTATTCCATGATGCCCCGCGAGAGAATTCGTGAATAGGAGTGGAGCAATGCAACTCACAGGTAGGTCATCATTACAAAATGTTGGAAGTAGTAAGTCCGAGTTTCATTCATACTACTCTCATTCATACTGTATAGAACGTACTTTTTTAACGGTCGAGTAGAAATTTAAATGCAGTACCTACTGAGTAGTAGGCTGTTTTGGACACAAGTAAGTTAAAGCCAGAGGAAGTGTAATAAGAAAAAAAAAGGAAGATCACATTCTGCAACTCACCTTCAGTGTCTAGATCGACTGCGAGGTTCTGGAAGATGTCCATGTGTGCCGAGTGTGTGATGGTGCTCATGGAGGGAGTGCTGCCCTTGTTGTGAATGTGGGCAATGGCCTGGGTTCCAACGTACAGCACCAGAGCGTTGATCAGCTGAATGTTGTAGCGGTTGCCTGGCTCATTGGACACCTGGAAAAATTATTGGAATAATTCTTATTTATTATTCACTAAAACTAAAGAGAAAATATCTTGTTCAACCAATCCACTCCAAGGAGAGCAAAGAAAATGTATCTCTGTAAAAGAGCTGCATGGGATTATCCTGGAATGCAAAGTTTGTTTCAGGAAATCAGTGGCATTACCGCATAACAAATTTCAAAAAAAGAATACTAAACAGAGGTATCGAGATACCTTGGCAATCTCTTACCTGCAGGTTGCTGCGCAGCTCAGAGAGGAAGGTGACAGGAGAGCGGGTCTTGAGGTAGGAGTCAAGATCCTTCTTAAACTGGGACGGCATCACACCAGTGAAGTTTGTGAGGATGCGGGGAGCGATGTTGATCTCACTCAGCATATCCACCTAGAGAACATGTAGAAATTATTACAGGTTCCACAACAACCCAGTCCCAGTTGACACCACAAACTACTTGACACAAAATGCTACATTCACTGTTGTGTTGAAGTCTTGGACACCCTACTGTCTCGTGGACTTAATGGACATGCTCAAGTCTACATGAAGCAAGTCTTTTGAACCTAAATTACAACAACATCAACGCATCACTATCACTACCTTTAAATTAGGGGTGAAGGGGTCCGGAAGCCTCATGTTGCGGGGGAAGGCACTCAGGATCAGATTCCTCAGCTGGATGCAGTTGGGTGGGATGACATCACAGAATCCGTAATGGTAGTCAC